TGGATGGATGGATGGATGGATGGATGGATGGTTGGATGGTTGGATGGATGGATGGACTCTGTCATGCCTCCTGATTGTGTTTGTTTGGAGGAGGACCACAGCGCGGTGCAGCGAGGCGTGACGTGTCATCACATCCAGAATCCTGAACTCTTTGTTTACTTCTGACAGGAAGAGGAGTGATTGTTCTGCTTCAGCTGCAGAGATCATCATTACACAGGAATTAAAGGTGGACCGGACCGAACCGGACCGGCAGTTCTGCAGCTCTTTGTTCCTGCTGCCACCGGCGCCTTTCATCAGAGAGCGTTTAATGAAAATCAATGCCAAAGACAGTCAGGAAGTCAGAGTTTAGTTTCTTCTGCTGGTTCTGATCCGGAGCTCAGTCTGGCTCGGTGTGGTTAGCTTTAACAGTCATTTCTCCCTGAACACTCATTAAACACAGACAGGAGGACCTTCAGCTACTACCACCTGATCCCTCCTGCTGGAGCTGATCTTCATTCCAGTAAATCCATCAGTTTTATTGCAGAACGAAGAGAAGCTGGACCTCAGAAGGGGTGTAAAACAGAGCCATCCACTGACAGCTAAATGTTTCTAAAATAACTGAAGATTGGAAAGAATTCAGTCATTTTCAGTTTTGTTCCTGGAGAAGCACTTATCTCTGTGTGTGAGGAGATGATTCACATTCCTGCTGTCGGAGGAGGAGAGGAGAGCAGATCAGGTGCCAGTTCCTGCTGTCTGCTGTGTCCCTGCACAGAATCATCCACAGATTCTTCAACCTCCTGAGCCTGAAGGAGGACCTCCAGCTCGTCCTCCGTGGAGGAGCCATCTGAGAGGAGCAGAAGTGACACCTCCACACGGCAGCCATCTTTCTCCTGTTCCCACCTGATGGAGGGAAACATCAAACCAGATTCTGCTGATCCGGGTCCAGACTGAAGTCTGGGTTCTGGACGGTCCTTCAGAGACCAGTTCATGGTTCTGTTTGGAAGTGAAGTGACTTGTTGTCCCACATTATGATGCTGCCACCGCCATGCCCACCTGTTGGTTCAGTGTTCTGAGGTCTGACCTTCTGAAAGAACAAATAAAAACCTAAAAGTCTGAATTAATGGATCTTTATGTTCCAACAGAAACTCTGAAGACAAATTAGATCAAAGAAACAGAAAAACTTCCTTTGTTTGTTTTTAGACAAAGTTTTACAGCTTCTGTCACTCAGATTAAGTCAAATCTAAAAGTTTTGTTGTAAAAATAAAAAGGGAGACGTCCTGTATGGACACAGTAATGTGAGATGTGCATGTGACTGGTGAAAAACTGGGAAATCTGACTTTACCACATTAATGGGTTTGTAGTAAAAATCCATTTCTGACTAATAGTGAAAATTATTTTTCAGTTTTTATAAGTTTTCTGAGAACTTTTCCTGTTAAATCTGAACCTTATTTCAGGTTGTTTATTTCAGCCAGCAGGTGGAATCTGTCTGTAAACCAGTGATGTCAGAGTCGTTTCTGTGTTTTAACATACCACTAACTGAAAATGGGGTTAGCTCAGATTTCCTAGCTTTCCACCGGCCTTGAACGCATCGTTACAGGGCTGAACGTCTGGAGGCCAGCAGATCTGTGTGCTCGTGTGCAAACCTTGGTGCGTGCACAGGCTCACTTTGTGCAACAGGATGAGATGATTCAAGTGTGTTTGAGCAGGAGAAGACTCTGGTCCCGGTTCTGAGGTCCAGTTTGTTCGAATTTTAGGTTTTATAAACATCTCAAGTCCTTTAAGACAGAGGTTCACAAACTGGGGTCCGTGAGAGGTATCCTGGGGGTCCTCAAAAAATTTCACTAAATTCTTAATTTGGTTTTTATTTTTAAAAATGGATGAAGAACAATGAACTAATAAAACAAACATAATAAACTAAATAAAAATATATATTCCCATGGCATTTAGGGGTTGAAACGACAATAAATTATCTTTTAAAACAGCATGGGGGTTTATGAGGGGGTCTCTCTTTTCGCCCTTGTAAGGGGTCCGCAGACCGAAAAGGTTTGAGAACCCCTGCTTTAAGATTTATAAACTTTATCTCTTAACAAATGATGTCATAATGTAATGATGTGATGATGTCATAATGTGATCATGTGATGATCTGAAGGCAAACAGAAGCTGAACTCAGTTTTATTTCTCTTTGTTGTCAGAGGTTGTTTCTCCCATGATGCATTGTGCTGAAGTAGACTCTCACTAGAAAAAGAGATTTAATGTAAAAATACAAAGGAAACACTAACGAGCTAAATGAAATCACCTGGGGGAGACAACAGAAGCAGGTGAGTGGGCGGGGCCTAACCATGGGGGAGAACTGCAGACAGAAGCATCAGGTAAGAACGACACAAGAAACCAAGCTAAATGTTAGCAAACCTCAGAATCTGATGTGTCTCTTCTGTCCCTGTGGGAACCAGTTCAGCCTGATGCTGTGGAGTTCTGTGCTCCAGTGGGAGGTGAGTCAAACAGAAGGTAAACAGATTGTGTAACTCTGCTGGTGCTGGTTCTGGTTCTGCAGCTCCTCACCTCCAGGCTGACCTTTAATGATGAGCTGCTGAGAGGCTCTGATGGTCCTCTGATTACAGCCAACCAGAGAGACGGCACTCATTTATGGCCCGCTGTGCCCAGGGATGGAGGCGTGATGAAGCTGACATCCATCAGGGAGGAAGACTGATCAACAGTAAACAAGTCCAGGCAGGTGAATCACAGGAGACCAGGACAGGGAGTCTGAACTTCTGCAGTCTGGAGACGGGTTTGAAGACAGTGAAATGAGTCAGAACTTTGGTTTAACCCAGCAGGGTCTGCTTTAGTCTTCTTATAATCCCTGATAATCCAGACAGATGGGATGATGTCAGAACAGTTGTTTGGAGTCCATGAGGACCCCCTGAGACCCTGCTGTAATTAGCAACACATCAACGCTCATCTGGGACTTGACTTCACCTCATCAGACCTGGACAAACAGCTGAAGTCTTTAGTTTCAGCTCATTTGTTGCAGCTTTACAAACTGTTTGTGTTTCTGATCTTTTGTCACAGTTTGACTGAACAACAGTTTGCATTTAGTTCAGATTCTTCTGCACATGTCTCATTAATGAAATCAGTCCAGGAAACCTCTTTATTGGTCTTCACCTGGTCTCTGTGGTCCAGACTCGTCCTGCAGTGTGAGGAAAATCATAAAAACCAATCCAACCTGTTTCCATCAGGAATATTTCACCTTTAACCCTTTTTACATGGTCACACTCCTGATTTAACTCTTAATGTTGGATCTTTGTCCAACTGGTCTATGTCCAACTGGTCTATGTCCAACTGGTCTATGTCCAACTGGTCTATGTCCAACTGGTCTATGTCCAACTGGTCTTGGTCCAACCTGCTGTAGGACAGATGGTTTCCAGTCAGAGGACAAAGGTCAGTAAAGACTAATAAAGACACGCTTTCTGTTCCAGAGAACATGTCCTCTGTGCTCTGACTGATGCTGCTGATGGCACAGACTAAAACACCTGTAAGACTTTGATTCCTGCAGAACAACCTTGTTGAGCAGATTGGAGTGCGTCAGCAGCCGGCAGTAGCTGGCAGCAGGGACCCTGAGGAGGTCACGACCTCTGAGCCTGCACCTGAAACCCTCACAGCTCCAACACCTGAAGAGTGTGTGCACGAGTCATGATGGTTAAGGCAGGTGAATTAAAGTAACTGTAACTCATTAACTTGGTACTTTAACTCATTAACTTGGCACTTTAACTCATTAACTTGGCACTTTAACTCATTAACTTGGCACTTTAACTCATTAACTTGGCACTTTAACTCATTAACTTGGTACTTTAACTCGTTAACTTGGTACTTTAACTCGTTAACTTGGTACTTTAACTCATTAACTTGGTACTTTAACTCATTAACTTGGTACTTTAACTTGTTAACTTGGTACTTTAACTCGTTAACTTGGTACTTTAACTCATTAACTTGGTACTTTAACTCAT